ATTGCGTATCATAATTTGGCGTTTGAGAGGGAGCTTAAAGCTTATGATCTCAAGGTCCAGCTCCAGCAGTTAAAGACCTCATCGGAAGGGAAGGAACTCATTAAACCGGCTAAAGCTGTTCGGTTTGAGTATCCTAAAGGAGAGGAAGACCCAGCAGCATCAACCAATGGAGGATATGACATGATGGCTCTTGCTTCTGATGCTAAGAGAGCTAGAGCAGGGAGCCCCTCAAATTTAGAAGATATGCAAGTAATTCTCTTTCCTCCTTCTCCTCTCTCTTTCTCACTCTCTCACTCTCACTCCCTCTCTCTCCCCTAGATTGATTTGGATAACCTACCTCCAGTCGATCCAGCACTCTTGAATCAACTCTCAATGCGTTTGAGTGACAAGCTCCAAATATTCATTCAAGATGTACCAGGGACCATCATAGAGTCACGCTTACTCACTGACTTCCATTATGCTCATGCCTGCCAGACCAGTGAAAGAGTCAGACAGGCTATACTATATGAGCATGTCATACAAGATCTGAAGAGAGAGAACGAGTGAGTCTCTTTGAGAAAAAGCTAGACTGTAGATCTAATGCATGTAGGGTATAAAAATAGCTTTATCTTGTGTCTTTGTGTAACATTTTTATTATCTCAATTTCTTTTCTCTCTCTCTCTCTTCACCTTTTGCTTATCTTCTCTACAGTCTCAATATGTCTTTAATAGCTCGTAAGTATTTCGTGGAGATATGCAAAGACCCTCAGATATATCAAGAACTACAAGTGAGGGAGAGAGTGTATGTACGTCCACTGTTAGTTACCATATGTGTCTCTCTCTGTGTGTCCACAGGATGTAAGATTATTGTACAGTCGGTTTTGTTCCTGCTGTTATCATTTTATCCAGTCAGTAAACGAAGCAAAAAGGAACAGGTATATAATAATGATAATAAGAAATGGTATTTTAATATATCTCTCCTTATCTCCAGTTGGTGTTTGTCACTGGCTCACATTATAAATTGTTTTTATTTAAATTCTTCAATCAGTGCACAAGCTGGTGACAAATATTCGCTAGATCAACAGCTGTTAGGTAGATTCAGGTGTAAGGCACTCCTTGTAAGTATAATTCCTTTGTTCCTTCTTAGTATAGTACTTACATGTAATTGACTCCAAATGCCTCAAATCTTTATTATGGTGTTGTGAATGTGATAGATACATGTAAGTGATATGAAGTTTGAGCCAATTCCAGATCATTACTATTACACACGAGTGTATTAAATAAAGATTAACTATAACTAAACTATGATTGTTTTGATCTTGACTATCTTTATTGTACTATTACAGATGGTAAGTGAAATGGGCACAGTTGCATTTACCAGTGGTGAAGTCTCCTCCAGTATAGTCATTGGCAATGATTACATTGTCCCTGGACTCAAGGCCTTCTCTCTCCATCCATTCGCTGGAGATGACTCCATTTTAGAGAAAGTGAGAGAGGAGTGGTGCCAGTGCTTAGATCAGAGCTCACTAACTGAAGGTACTATTTAAGGGAATGTCGTTAAAATTAGGACATCATTACCATTGCTATATCTATTACTTTATGAACTTTATGTTCTCTTTTCTTTCTATATTTAGATGATTCCGACAAGCTAGCAGATTTGTTAAT